TGGATGCCTACAGCTGTCGGCCATTTTGTTTATCTGATCAGTCTGAAAATTTGATCTGCATAATAATTAATAAGCCACCACAGGGATCTTTCATGTGAAATATGAGAAAGATCAATCTAGTAATTTTCTGATAAAAAGATTAAAGATGTCTGCTTGTCTGCCGTTTTGTTTATCTGATCAGTCTCAATATTTGATATGCATAACTAGCCACCACAGGGAACCTTCATAGGAAATTTGAGAAAGATCCCTCCAGTACTTTCTGAGAAATAGCACAAACAAAATTGAACTCTCAAATTCAAGATGGCTGGCTGTAGGCCATCTTGGTTTTTTTTATCAGTATCAAAAACAGATATGCATAACTAGGAATCATGGGGAACCTTCATGTGAAATTTGAGAAAGATCCCTCCAGAACTTTTTGAGGAATAGCGCTAACAAATTTTAACTCTCAATTTCAAGATGGCTGGCTGTCGGCCATCTTGGTTTTCCGATCAGTCCCAAAAACTGATATGCATAGCAAGGGATCATAATGAACCTTCAGGTGAAATCTGAGAAAGATCCCTCCACCACTTTTTGAGAAATAGTGCTAACGAGAATTGTTTAAGGACGGACGGAATGACGGAATGACAGACGGAATGAGGGACGGAATAAAGGACCACGGACGCAGGGTGATTTAAAAACAAAGAAACAACAGAAAACAAAAGAGGATGTATTTTGTGAACTTTTATTTCAAAAGGCAGGGAAAGACATCAAAAGACGTTAACAGTCAAACTCATCTTGTCCATTTGTAAATAGGAATTTTCGACATTAACAAAATAAATACCAAGCAAATGTTACAAATATTTCCTTATTTTATGCATATCTTATGGCCGTAATAGAATCCATAACATTTTAACAAGAAAACAAATTCCACCCAACACTCTCTGCAGCTCCTTTAATTGCTACTTGAAACCATAGATATTATTCACATAAAATGAAGTGTACCTATCTTGACATTTCCAGAGCCCTAAATGGCATGCATCACTCAACTGGATAACCTATAAACCATTGCAAAATATTCTTATTAAAGGTAATCTTGCAAAATTTCCCCCATTGCAGGCTCCCCCACCTCTTAAGGAGATCATATTCCCTTTATCACATATTATTACTTGGTCCCAGCTTTCTTAACAGCAAATCTGGTTGAATTATGATCAGCTGGTCAGGAGGAGTAAGCATTTAAAAAACTAAACATGAATGACTCCTTTAGACCTTGTCCCCAAGACTCAAGTAGAGCTACACTTACATGTATCTTTAAGATAACAATCAATTTGAATATCCCATGACCTGAAATGCTACATTGTAAATTTAGAATGGAATATATATGCGTATCCCAAAGCATGGCCCCCCC